GGAAAGAGTTTTGTTTTTTTCAGATTAGAGTTGTGTGACCTTGGGTTGATGAGGGTTGAGTGATAAAGGCATAATTGTGTATTTTAATGTCATTTTAGTTCTGAAAGATAGAATGGAAAAAAAAATCTAAATAACTTTTGGTGTTAGTATGGATGGCATTTCTGAAATTTTAAGTTTTTTCAACATCTAAAAAGGCACTTAAATTTAAGTATGGACAATATGCAAATATATTAAGGAAATGTTATCAATTACTTGGTCAAATCCAGTTGATTAATCAGTTGCAACACTTTAATTGATGGGCATGCCTATCAATTACATGTAATTATGTGACTCTTAGGAAAGCCACACATCTCCATTTCTTTTGCTTCCAATGTACAAAGTGAATATTTGCTGTTACAAACAGGTGTCAGGTTTCTGTATAATTATCACCAGATCAATAAAAAGTATTGACTGGATGCACAAGCTCCTGTGCAGGTAAATCAATCGTGTATGCAATGAGCATCAGTGATTTAGCTCTGCACTGTGCTGCTGTGAAGGAAGCTTTTGCTTTTGAGTGCAATTGTAGTTGTTAATACACATGCAATGCACCAACAGCAATTTGGCTCTGTAGCAAAAACTGCTTATCCGCTCCTTCACACAAGCATTCTTAAGATCTGACGCCGTTATATATAAGCAGGCGCAAGCATACATAGAAATAGACAGGCTTATCAGTGTTCCTGGTTGACATCCAGAAAAGACAAATTCATTTTCCTTTCTGGAAACTTTACTGAAACAGAACATGAGAGGGCAGCAGGTTTCTCTGATAATGTCTGTCAAGAACTGTCCAGTGTAATTCCTACCGATGCTGAGTGCTTATATGGACTTCTTGATTTAACCCTTACTGCACTTTTAAGTATTACTTTACCATCTCATTTTCCATCTCCCACTCTGACGATAATTTTATTTTCATTCTCTTCTTTGTTCCCAGCCGTCTCTCTTTTAAGATCTATTAGGCAGACCGATGCTCCTTCTAAGCTGTGGGGTCTTGTGAGCAAAAATTCTACTTTGTGAGCTGCTGGCATTAAAGTTGTGAGCCAGCGATTTGGCTACTGCATAAATTAGTTTGCTCTGGAGCCCTCCTTCCTGAGCAAAGACAAAAATGTGTGAGCCAGAGGCTAAAAAACTGTGAGCTAGCTCACACTAACTCAGCTTGGAGGGAACACTCAGGCATAGGCCTTCAGCTCCCTTCCACCATTCCCGACAAAGTTAAGAAAAAAGTTCCAAGATACAGGATACATTTCTAGGCAAGCTGGGTCCAAGCAAGTTGGGCCCTTCCTCCCTGCATGCTACAGTTCTGAGATGAACTGGACCCTCACTGATTTCTAAAATGACCTTCCCTGCAGCGAGGTACAAGCTCTCCCTCCTCTGCGAAGACAGATCTACACATTCCCCTCCCCCCCAATAGCTAGCAATCCAAAACAGTCCTGTGGCGCCTGAGCGGTGGGTGTTGCCTTCTGACACGCTTCCGGTGGTGTCAGGGGGTGTGGCATATGCAAATGAGTCATGCTAATGAGCTCCTGCACCTCTTTTTCTACGAAATGACCCCTGACCCTCACTGATTTCTAAAACGACCTTCCCTGCAGCTACCCTGTGGCTGCAGGGAAAGCGAGTCTCCAGACCCGGCACGCCAAGGAAAGGTATTGTGTTTGGCCCGAAGAACCTAAACAAGAGACAGTGTTTGGTTCTTAGTATGTACGCACAATCTATGGCCTGGACAAAACAGTAAGTGTGCATTTAGGGTTGCCAGATTCCAGGTGGTGGCTGGAGATCTCCTGGGATTACAACTGGATCTCCAGGCTACAGAGATTAGTTCCCCAGGAGAACGTGGCTGATTTGGAGGGTGGACTCTCCGGTACCATGTCCTTGCTGAGGTCCCTCCATTCCCCAGGCTCCACCCCGAAAATCTCCAGGAATTTCCCAACCCAGAGCTGGCAACCCTAATTTATAACTGTAGTAGAGGGGATTTTTTTTTTAAAAAAAATATTATTTATTTGTTTTATAATACATCTTTCTTACTGAGACTTAAGGGGGGGTTACTCAAGTACTACTCATTTAGTAAAGGTAAAGGTTCCCTTGCTCGAAAGCCAGTCGAGTCCGACTCTAGGGTTGCGGTGCTCATCTCCGTTTCCAAGCCGAAGAGCCAGCGTTGTCCGAAGACGTTTCCGTGGTCATGTGGCCGGCATGACTAAACACCAAGGTGCACGGAACGCTGTTACCTTCCCACCGAAGCGGTACCTATTTATCTACTTGCAATTTCTTGCTTTCGAACTGCTAGGTTGGCAGGAGCTGGAACTAGAGACGGGAGCTCACTCCGTCATGCGGCACACTTGGGTCTCGAACTGCTGAACTACTGACCTTCCACAGCCTGCAGTCCAGCATCTGAACCACTTGAGCCATTTAGTAGTACTACAGTAATCTCCCTGCTCGTTACTTTTGTATTTCCATTCTTTTCTAGCATAACATGACACTGCGCACCTTCAACCTCCTTTGTTACGTCTACAGACTTCATATCATCACTGAATTGGCTCGATGCCTGACTATCCATCTGTTATAGTAAAAGGCTTCCCTTACTTGAAAGCCAGTCAAATCTGACTCTAGGGGGTGGTGTTCATCTTCGTTTCCAAGCCAAAAAGCCAGCATTGTCCAAGGACATTTCCGTGGTCATGTACCTGGCATGACTAAACACCAAGGTGCATGGAATGCGGTTACCTTCCCACCGAAGTGGTACTTATCTATCTACTTGCAATTTCTTGCTTTCGAACTGCTAGGCTGGCAGGAGCTGGGGCCAGAGACGGGAACTCACTCCGTCACGCAGCACTCGGGTCTCAAACTGCTGAACTACCGACCTTCCGGTCTGCAGCTCAGCATCTTAACCTCTGAGCCACCACGGCACTATCTATCTATCTATCTATCTATCTATCTATCTGTCTGTCTGTCTGTCTGTCTGTCTGTCTGTCTGTCTGTCTGTCTGTCTGTCTCCTATTGTTTATCTGAGGAATGTATTTTAGCCTGACATCAGGTATGGGAAATGGGTTAGGCTAAGAGGTAGAGAGGACCCCGAATCCACCCAGCAGCTTTATGATCAACCAAAGATCCAAACTTGGGTTTTCCCCATTAAAACCTAGCACTGTTACAGCCTCTTCACCACACTGGATGATTCTGTGGTCTAATCTTTAATACTAAACTTTGCCAAAATCTGTCGGAGAAATAAAAAAAATCACTTGAAAATTTGATCCCAGTATGTTTTTTAGTTGGAAACTTAAATGGGCAACTCCTCACAACAGTCCTTTCAGTGAAAGGTTGTTGTGCGGCTTTGTGTACATTTGGATACCTGACGTCTTGGACCCATGCTGATGTACCTTGAAGTTTTTGTATGTGGCTGGGAGCGTGCTTGTAGCTCTGCTCAGCTGACTTGGCTGGAGACTGCTATGGACAGCCGCACCCTATTGATTATATCAGAGCTTTCAACAGTTCTGAGCGCTATTGATAAAATGCAGATGACATGTCTCTTGGGCCGGCTCCCGGGTTTGCCCGCTCATTACTAGAAAGAAGACCCTGAGCGGCAATGATGGTTAGTTGCCCTTGTCTGTCTAGAACTTCCCTTGCAGACGAAAAGAAAATGCAGTCCTGTTATCCGCAGGCAGCTCTTATTCATCACATGCAATCAAGCAAATAATTTTTTTTGCAAGCCTGCAGGAAGCTTCTGAGAGTGGGAATCCCAGTCGTCTGTTACACAGCTTGTGATGTACAGTTTAACTGTGTGGCTCCCAGTCGTCTCCATCTATTCTGTCTTCTGAGAAAACGTGATTTTGGAGGGGCTGCTCACTCTTACAGAAGCCAAATCAGGTCAGCTGGAAGACCGTGTTGCTTCGCATCCCATAATTTATTTATCGCATTTATTTTATCTTGCCCTTAGAGCAGGGCAGCATATGTGGCTCCCTGTATTACCCTCACCACGGCTCTGTGAGGAAAGTGAGGCTAAGGGGGAGGGGAAAAAATGACACGACTGGAAGTCACCCAGTGAGTAACATGGCAGAGAGTGTATGAACTCAAGCCTCCCCTGTTGCCAGTCCATCTGTCATAAGAACATAAGAGAAGCCAATGTTGGATCAGGCCAAAGGCCCATCCAGTCCAACACTCTGTCACACAGTGGCCAAAAATACCAGGTGCCATCAGGAGGTCCAGCAGTGGGGCCAGGACTTTAGAAGCCCTCCTACTGTTGACCCCCCCAAGCACCAAGAAGACAGAGCATCACCTGCCCCAGAGTCCCTATCTATACCTTGTGGCTAATAGCCACTGATGGACCTCTGCTCCATATGCTTATCTAATTCCCCCTCGAAGCCGTCCATGCTTGTAGCCGCCACCACTTCCTGTGGCAGTGAATTCCATGTGTTCATCACTCTTTGGGTGAAGAAGGACTTCCTTTTATCTGTTCTAACCCGACTGCTCAGCAATTTCATTGAGTGCCCACGACTTCTTGTATTGTGAGAAAGGGAGAAAAGTACTTCTTTCTCAACCTGCTCTATCCCATGCATAACCTTATAAACCTCGATCACGTCACCCCTCAGCCGTCGTTTCTCCAAGCTAAAGAGCCCCAAGCGTTTTAACCTTTCTTCATAGGGAAAGTGTCCCAACCCTTTTATCATTCTAGTTGCCCTCTTCTGCACTTTCCCCAATGCTATAATATCCTTTCTGAGGTGTGGTGGCCAGAACTGTACACAGTACTCCAAATGAGGTCACACCTATGCCACACAAGGCATAGATCGTTGTGGGATGGTTTGTCTGGAAGACTGCAGTTACCACCTCTGAACGCTGTCGAAGAGGTAGCACAAGTTCATGCATTTATTGGAGGCCATGAGGAGGTAGTGACAGAGACACTGGGGCACTGTTTAAATGCCCTACTGGAGAATGAATAGCAGAAATCGGTCTTTTATTACAATCTGCTGGAACTTACACGGCATCCAGAAAAATGAGGAGTAAGTACTACGGAGATCAGTTCAAGACTCATTCATTTTTTTCTAAGGAAGAGATGTAAGAAAGCGATAGTATGGGAGATCTAGCCTCAGCAGTTTTTGCAGTACTGAAATACATGTCAACGGGGCTTGGTTTAGTAACAGGAATAAAATGATCCAATCTAGAGAGCTGTGTTTTCTGTAAACACCAGAGGTTACCCAACTGCAACGAAAAAAAAATAAAGTCCGAACCTCTTTCTTGAAAGGGATCGGAAAATATTGGCCAGGAGGCCTAGAAAACAAAAAGCTCAGTCCAACCAAAGTTAAGCACCTTAAAATCTGCTGGATTGCCGTTCTGAGCTGCTTCTCTGTAGCAACCACGAAGCGGGCTATTTATTTATTTTATATCCCACCCTCCCTGCTGAAGGAGGCTCAGGGCAGCTTACATAAAATGTATTAGACAAGGGAAGACAAAGAAATCAAATAAAATGTAAATATAAAACATGACATAAAGTGCTAGTGCAGATCATATGGCGATGGCGTAAGCAGCATCAGCGTAATGTGAGTACGGTCGGCTAATAACTCGGTCCGGGTCATATCGGCGGAGCGCAGGCTGTCGATGATGGTGTCGGTATTGAGGCCCGGGCCTCAGTTTGTTAAGTGCGGCTCGCTAGTCGAAGGCCTGGTGGAAGGTTAGCCCTGCACTTGCCTTAGCTCGGCAGAACCACGGGCCAGCAAGGAATGTGATCTCACCTGCAGCCACCTGCCGGCTCCGTATCCCATCACTGCCACTCAGCCGGGGCTGGTTCCGGGTTCTGTTGGGCCCTGGGCAGAGATTGCTCAGCTCCCCCTCCCCTCACATGTTCACCACCAGGACCTCCGCTCAGACATCCCTTTCTGACCCTACCCACGTACCCCCCCTTCCCTTGCCTACTCATGACTAGGGTTGCCGTGCCCTTCCAACTCCCCGATGGGGGACTTTTGGGGGGGGCGTTACTGGAGAGGGCAGGGATGTCCCCAATGTGATGACATCACACAGAAGTGACATCATCACATTGGGGACCGGCAGCCCCCGCTTCTTGCCAAAAGCATTTAAAGGGGTCCCTTCAAATGCTTTTGTTTTGTTTTTTCAAAAACAATTTATTAGGATACGATCGAAAAAACAAACAGTCCAAACAGATATCAAAACTTAAACGGTTATCCTTCCCTCCTCCCTTCCCCCCCCCCTTCTTGGCTTCCCACAGTGCTCCAACCTCCTGCCCAATTCTTAAATTTTCTTCCTACCTCCCTTTTTCTTTATTTACATCCACAGGTAACTTATCCTTCCATTATTCTTCTTATACATTATCTAATTTTCTGCTATCTTTTAATTTTCAGTAATTCTCAAAGCAAAGTAAATTGTCTTTCACATCCCAATATTTCTCCAGATAGTCTTTAAAGTCTTTCCAGTCTGCAAAAAATTCTTCTGCCTCCATGTTATTAAGTTTCCTTGTCATTTTATCCATTTCAACCATAAAAAGTAATTTTTTAATCCATTCCCCAACTTCCGGGGTCCTTCAAATGCTTTTGGGAAGAAGTGGGTGGGGGGAGGCAGTACATGCCTGCACTCCAGGTTGCAAATTCATGGATTGGAGTGAGGGCGTGCACAGCCACCCCTCTCCCTCCCTCCCTCCTGCAAGATTTATAGGGCCCTCCAGCTGATCACCGGGTTCCAACTGGTCGACTGGAGGGCCCTTTAAATCTTGTAGTAGGGGTGGCCACTCTTGGGGGCAGGGCTTCCCTCCCACTGGCCAGCTGGCTGGTGGTGGGGAAGAGCCCCAAAAATCAGAGGAACCCCCACTCAGACCGGGGGTGTGGCATTGGCCCTGCTCTCGACACCCCCTGCTCAAGGAAGAAGAAGAAGAAGAAGAGATTGGATTTATACCCCGCCCTTCACTACCCAGAGGAGTCTCAGAGTGGCTTACAAACTCCTTTCCCTTCCCCTCCCCACAACAGACACCCTGTGAGGTGGGTAGGGCTGAGAGAGCTCTGACACAAACTGCTCTTTTTCAAGGACAGCTGTGCCAGAGCTTGTGACTGACCCAAGGTCACATCAGCAGGTGCAAGTGGAGGAGTGGGGAATCAAACCCGGTTCTCTCAGATTAGAGTCCGCACACTTAACCACTACGCCAAACTGGCTCAGGAACCAAACCCCTTCTCCCTTCAGCAAAACTCAGGGTAGTAACTACCGTCCTCCCAGTGAATAAGGAGCTAGGTTTGCACAACACTGACTGTCTCATAAAGAAGAAGAAGAAGAAGAAGAAGAAGAAGAAGAAGAAGAGATTGGATTTATACCCCGTCATTCACTTGGAGTCTCAGAGCGGCTTGCAAACTCCTTTCCCTTCCCCTCCCCACAACAGACACCCTGTGAGGTGGATGGGGCTGCTCTATGGCTTGCCCAAGGTCACATCAGCAGGTGCAAGTGGAGGAGTGGGGGAATCAAACCCGGTTCTCCCAGATTAGAGTCCGCGCACTTAACCACGACACCAAACTGGCTCTCTGTTGAGTTGTCTTCACCGGGTTTCCCAGCATGCCAATCAATCTATTCCCTATCTTTCTTTTAACCTTCCTTTTGCTTAAGTAGTTTTGCTCTCCCTAGAATTGGATGTGCTTGTCCACCAAAGTTAATAGCTTCCCCTCCTTTTCAGTGCACAAGCCTAAAATTGCTGTTGGATTGGGGCACAATATTTCTCATTCAGGTTTTTTTTTAAAAAAATATTTCTTGGTGCTTCACTGCGGGGGGGGGGGGGGATGAAAAGCGTGTGCGGCCACTGATGTCTTGGATTTTGATGATGAAGCCTAAGGTGAATACTGAATGAAAGCTAATGGAAAATGTCACATTCCCGGCTGATCTTTTTCGCTCTTGAATGAAATTACCTGTTCTGGAGTCCACGGAGAAATATGGCTGTCCTTGGAGAATGCTGTAGACTACCCTGGCACTGTTCCCATAGGTAGGGTCATCAGCATCTGTTGCTGTCACCTGGATAACGGAGGTGCCTGACAAATAAAAAAAACAACAGCACGAAACCTTGTTAGAGCCATACCTGTGAAGAAAGGACACAGGATCTAAGTAGGTCCAGTGAATATAAATGTCCGGCTGCACAGAAGCATCATTTGGGAGTCTATTCTCTTTGTGATGCTTGAGGGATTTACACACACACACACGTCATTAGCTCTAATGGGAAGAGCAGGCACAAATCCATCAGGCATCGATGGGCCAGTAAATAACCTGTAGAGAAGCAGGACTCCTTCGTGGTCTGTTAAAAGTCAGGGGGTGTTCACTCCCAACCTGCTTTCTTTCTGGCCTATAAATCCTGCAATCCCTTGAAAACATGGTTTTAAAACACATTCAGTACCCTGCGAATTCTATTGCCACATTAAAAAAAATCCTCAAAACTCTGGGATGGGCCATTGGAAATTACACAATGAATGCAAGGAGCACAAATCGTAACGGGAAGAAAAAAATGTACACAACACAATCATTTACCAGCTACGTTCCATCCGGTGCCGTGTCACAGACACAATGCCAGTGAAGTTCTCCTCAGAAATGTGAACTGAGAAACTGGGTTATGGTAGATTCCACAGTACAGTTGGTAGGTAAGTCACACTTTCTCTGAAATCTGTCTACTCAGAAACTGCTATCCTGAAACTATGGGGAAAGTGTAGGTTTTGCCCAGGGCTCTTTTTGTAGAAAAAGCCCAGCAGGAACTCATTAGCATAATAGGCCACACCCAACAACAGGAACTCATTAGCATATTGGGCCACACCCCTGACAGCACAGCTCATTAGCATACTAGGCCGCACCCCCATGTTACTAGAAGTGTGGTTATCCAGCCACACCCATTTTTTGCTTGTTATTCTGTTTACCTTGTTTGTTGTCAAAACCAGGGCTTTTTTTGGAGCAGGAACTCCTTTGCATGTTAGGCCACACACCCCTAATGTAGCCAATCCGAATGAGTTTCTGATGTTGGGTGTGGCCTATTATGCTAATGAGTTTCTGCCAGGTGTGGCCAACTCGGGAGCCAGCCGGAACTCCGTTCCTATGCGTTCCTGCCCCAAAATAGCCCTGCCTCTAGTCAAAAATGTAGACAAGACGATCAAAAATGTATTTTTCCTATGTGAACGCCTCTGTAATGCTAGCATATGTTATAAGACATGACTCAAAAAAAGCTGAGGGTTTTCATTTCCAGTGATGTTAATGGCACAATTCAGCACATAGTCCGCTCTTTCCCACTCACATCAAAAGAATTTCAGAAGTGCTTGACTTTGGCTGTATTGAGTACTTTTATGTATCATGAGCATATTAGTTTGAATATTTTTTTTCCTGAACTTACCATTACAATGATGAGGGCTCGACACTTAAAAAAAACCGGTGATAAAAACTGTGGTTTATATTACTCTAGTAAGAGACTTGTGTTGTTTGTGACATGCGGGCACACAATCGTAGATATACTTGGTGCTTGATGGAACAAACATGCAATCACAGTTTAAAGGAACTTGCAGGGCAAAGCAAACGAATAACCAGGGCTTTTTGTGTGTGTGTGGGAAAGAGGTGTTAGAACTCTCAAGACGGAAATGAAGTTTTCAATCTGTATACTGAAAACTCACGAACTTTTAAGCATTGAAAAAATAATTTTGTCGAAGAGGTTCCAAAACTCCATTGTGGCATGTTCCCCCAGAAAAAAACACCCTGCAAATAATCAACCAAGATAGGCAGAAGAAATTTGGACTCATGCTACAAATGAAAGCAAAATAAGACATACGTGGATGCTTGGCGTGCTCTACTGAGAACAGGAAAAGAAAGGCAATGAGAAAAACAAGAAACAATGTGAAACTGTAGTGTATGTGCCTACGCAAATGTTAATATATATTCAGTGTGAAGAGTATCTGCAATTAGGCAGACAGGATTTCGCTGTTGGTTTATAAATTGTGAAGGGGTGAGTGATTACAATTTGTGCCGTAACCAGGGCTATTTTTGGGCAGGAACGCACAGGAACGGAGTTCCGGCTGGCTCCCAAGTTGGCCACGCCCAGCAGGAACTCATTAGCATAATAGGCCACCCCCAACAGCAGAAATTCATTAGGATTGGCTACATTAGGGGTGTGTGGCCTAACATGCAAAGGAGTTCCTGCTACAAAAAAAGCCCTGGGTTTGGACAACAAAGCAAACAGAATAAGAAGCAAAAGGTGGGTGTGGCTGGATGACCACACTTCTGGTAACATGTAGGTGTGGCCTAATGTGCTAATGAGCGGTGCTGACAGGGGTGTGGCCTAATATGCTAATGAGTTCCTGCTGTTGGGTGTGACCTATTATGCTAATGAGTTCCTGCTGGGCTTTTTCTACAAAAAGAGCCCTGGAACTGATGTTACCCAGCCTGCCTCAGCAGGGAGGGCGGGATATAAATCAAATAAATAATAAACAAACAAATAAATGGCCAGTAGATGTCATATCCAATAAAGCTTTCAGAACTTAAGTTGTTTTAAAACCACCTTTGCCTTTTCTTGATCTAATATATGGGCAGGCAGAGCCTCTTTTAGCTCCTGGCGTAAAACCCAGCTGAGGCTCATGAATGCTTTAATTTACACTGGCTGGGAACGGGCCCTGGGGGGGAATCACTAACATAGCCAGAAAATCAATGGAGCACAAGGGCTTGTTGTCATCAGGGCATGTTCCGGCTGGCTCTTTGCCTTCTGTAACAGGGCACTGACGGCAAGGGATGGCAAAGCCGAGATCAGCAGCACGGTGTGTGTGGCCTCAGCATCACTTCTACAACCACCATCTACATCAGGCTTGCGTGTTGTGACTCGGCAAATCACATAGAGATGACCTAGACAAATCTTCTGTACTTTGCCCTCTGCATAGGACTACAAAACAAGTGATTTGTCAATCACCTGTTAGGTCACCAATAAGCAGTGGGCTGTGCTAGCTGTCAGGGGCATAAATTGTGAAAACTAAGCCTCTAAGGTTTAATGGCAACAGAGGAAACGCAGAGAAAGTGTGCCTGATCCCACACTTCTGGAGAGGATTCCAAGTCCATCAGGAAGATACAGGAATTGGCGTTTGTGTGCGAGTGAGTGTGGTGGTTCTTCACGGGGAGAAGTTAGATTTTTTTTGCATTAAACATTATAATCATAAGTTATGCAACTTGGGTTTTTTTAAGATGAAGACGGGTAGCCGTGTTAGTCTGTCTGTAGCAGTAGAAAAGAGTAAGAGTCCAGTAGCACCTTAAAAACTAAGCAAATCTGCGGAAGGGTAGGAGCTTTCTTGAGTCACTGCTCACGCAGGGCTCTTTTTGTAGAAAAAGCCCAGCAGGAACTCAGTAGCATAATAGGCCACACCCAACAGCAAAACTCATTAGCATATTAGGCCACACCCTGACAGCACCACTCATTAGCACATTAGGCTACACCCCCATGTTACCAGAAGTGTGGTCATCCAGCCACACCCACCTTTCCCTTCTTATTCTGTTTACCTTGTTTGTTGTCAAAACAGACTTTTAACTTTTTTTGTAGCAGGAACTCCTTTGCATGTTAGGCCACACACCCCTAATGTAGCCAATCCTAATGAGTTCCTGCTGTTGGGTGTGGCCTAATAATGTTCCTGCTGGGCGTGGCCAACTCAGGAGCCAGCCGGAACTCCATTCCTATGCGTTCCTGGCCAAAAATAGCCCTGTTTCTTAGTGAGTACTGACTCAAGAAATCTCATACCCTACTACAAATCTGGTTAGTCTTTGAGGTGCTGCTGGACTTTTACTCTTTTCTATTTTTTAAAAAGTTGCTTTCTTGCACTGCCCAGTTCCATGACATCCAACCTGCTGATCCTCCTAGACTAGGGGTCAGCAATCTTTTATAACAGAAGAAGAAGAAAAGTTGGTTTTTATACCCTGCTTTTATCTACCTTTTAAGGAGTCTCAAAGTGGCTTACAATTGCCTCCCCTTCCTCTCCCCACAACAGGCCCCTTGTGAGGGAGGTGGGGCTGAGAGAGTTCTGAGAGAGAACTGTGACCGGCCCAAGGTCACCCAGCACACTTCACATGGAGGAGGAGTGGGGAATCCAACCCGGTTCTCCAGATCAGAGGCTGCCACTCTCAACCACACTGGCTCTCTAGATATCAGAACTATAACAAAATTCAGAGCAAGAGATCAACAGTTCAGTATAAGAGTCCGATCAGACGGCTCTTTAGAGCTGCGCAAGGCACGATTGCCTCACGGATCTAAAGGTAATGTCCAGACACAAACATCTGGGAAATGTCCCTCTCCCATGGGCATCCCGTTTTGCCGTGCTTCGGAACTGGACTTAAAAGATAGCACTTTAAATCTGGGGTTTTCGGTTACCTGCGGGACAACTGTGGACTTTCACCCATCTGATCGTTCCACCAGCGCGCAATCCTCCCGTCGGGGTGGTCTGACGTCAGACCATCCCGAGCGGGCACCATTTTAAAACAACTCTACACATGCGTGGATCAACAAGGATGTGCTGACACGTCTATGTGCGTGCGCAAAAAGTTTTTTAAAAAACCACCGCGCACCTCCTTCAACAAGGACGCGCTGTGATGTCTATGCGCATGCGCAAAACGTTTTTTAAAACCCCCCACCGCGCATGCCTCCCTCAGTGGATGCCCTCTAGACAATTCACAACGGAGGCAGCGCGTGGTAAGGCGATTCACCAGGGGGATGTCTGGTCGTGCTACGATGGATTAAAAAGATCAGGATAAAATTCAAGCTGGCACAATGACGGGATTAGTTGCCCGTCTGAACGCACCCTTAGAAAACCCATCTGCATAACTCCACATATACAATTTAACATGACTGATAACTGATTAAACTGATAAACTGATTAAACAGCCCAAACACCGGTGGTTGCAAGTCCTTTGTTAGGAAGATGGCCTGTATGGCCCTTTCTGACTTTGTGATTCTATGATTCTAGGGTAGACTCTGCGGCATTGTATTCCACCGAGGTCCTTGTCCTCCCCAGGCTCCATCCCCAAATCTCCAGAAGTTTCCCAACCTGGATCTGGCAACCCTACTCCCCCATCCCCCACCGGTGGTCAGGGAGGACCTGTCAACCCTAGGAAATCTCTCCCTGCCAGTTCTCAACAGACTTTTAACTAGAAAGTCATCTTCATCGTACTCAGATGTGGCAATCGTATGCAACTTGTTTTTACAAAAGAGGTCTAGAAAAGAAATAAAACTACTAGTAGGACTGCATTTTTCATACAAGAAGAAACGCCTTCTTTGCATATTTTATGGCAGTTTCCCCTTGCCCCAAATTAATATTTCATTATTAACATAAGGTTAAATCTAATGTCGGAAAGTAGCCTGCTGGCAGGGCATTGAATTGATTTCATAGACGTTCATAATAACTATGGGGTTCCACTATTTGGAAACGAGAAAGTTTTAACACAGCCACTGAAAAGGAGCAGCCAAAGGTAAGCAGCTTGGAACATCTGAATATATACACCAGCACAGCTGCTACAGATGATAATCCATCCTAGAATATTAAAGGGAATTAGCACATTGCACGGTGGCTAATTAGTTCTGAGCAGGCATTGATAATTTGGGAGGCAACGCAACATAGACAAGCAAAATACAGTATCAATTATCTTTTACAAAAGGAAAGAAGAATGATTCAATTAGTTACATGTCTGCTAAACACCTTTGCCTTGTGAAATAATGGAAACTATAAAGAGGAAAATCGCTTAAGGCCTGATCAAATGGTTTATGGAACCATAACTGGCAACTGTCAGAATACGTTTAGGGAGATTTCTTCCCTCTAAGGGCTACTTTCTTTGGCCACCTTGTATTTTCTGTGTGGGGAAGAAAAGCTAAAAGATAAATCGGCTGGAAGCCTTGAAAGTATTTATGCAGAAGTAAAGTACAGAGTACAGAAAGTATTTATGCAGAAGTAAGTATAGAGAAATCAATGGGACTTCCTTTCTTCCAAATATTTGTAGGTTTTACAGCTGCAGTGACACCGATAAAGCAAATCGCACACCACTAGTTGCAGGAGTTCCCAGTCTTGTCCTTCTCACACCTACTCCCCATCCTAGAATTGTGTTTACTTCCATGCAGTGTGATTTCACTGTGCATCACACTCAACAACAGCAAAGATATTGTGAACTGAATGCTGGCAGAAGTCAATCTGTTAGGTTGTGTCTCCGCTTTTAGCTTTTCCCATAACAATGTTCTCTGCCCTGTCTCTTGCTCTCTGTATATGACCCTCAGACAGTCAGTCTTTTATTAATACTCGTAGACCAACAGGTCATAAGCAAACAGGGAAAAGTATATTCATATACAGACAATGTGAGAGACATAAATATTCCTCTTTTTACATCAGGAAGTTATGCCATTAAATACCATAGGCAAAATTTTTGCAACTGCAAGTCACATTTGGATCGGTATCTGCTAGCAACTTAGCGACAACATCTTGTTTTGTGAGAAAACTCCATTTTTGGATATAGATTGAGATCCATTTGTCATGGGCAAAAATGTATTTGTTGCAATCAATAAAGAAGTACCAGATGGTGTCTAAATCACTGGATTTGCAGTCACATAGCTACTCAGAGAAAGGAATCCCTAGGAACCTGCCTGCTAGCTTCCCCTAGTGGCAGGGCATTTAGTCTTGCCTTTGAGAACAGTATTCTATATTCGGAAAATACTGTAAGTTAGAAACTTACAGTAGGCAGGTAGAGTCTTTGGAATTGAAAGGCCCAAATAATGTAGGGAACATACCCTTTGAGCTCTGCAGCCAGTACTCCATGTATCAAAAGGTAGGATACTAAATTTAATCAGTTTGCATGCAGAGGGATAATCCATTTGGTTAAAGAGCTCCAGGGAAAAACCCATTCTCTGTAGCCTATCATCAACTAATTTTAACCATGAACTTTGAAAGCCATTCTTAGCTAGGTGGTACAGAAAGCACACTGCCCAAGAATAAAAGATTTTCAGTCTATGGAGGAAACTTGCTATCCAAGCTTTAGCTTCCAGGGATGGTTCAGCAAATTCCAAATGGATAGCTGGACCAGAGACACACCTAGGGGGATTTGATAGTGAATGTAGGAAAGAAATTGAGCAGGAATCATACTTGTCATTGACCTTAGCTATGGACCATGGCACGCCATATATATGGGGACTATGTTCGCCTAAAAGGCACAAATAGCAGCAGGTACATAGTTACCTCCTGTGGTCCGAAAGAATCTCAGAAGGGCTGACGAACGCATTGATGATAAGTTCTTAGCAGTAGTAATATGACTTAACTAGGACAAATTGTAAGAAGACACCTAGATAATGGAAGGTGTTCTCCTGAGCCATCGAATGGCCATTCATAGACCAAATTGATGGCATGAAGGTGCATCTTTGCAAAAAACAACCACATTTGTCTTTTGCTAATTTATATCTAAAGACTCCTGGAAACAGTAGAGTAGAAAAGTATTCAATAAACGTCTTAGCCCAATACGAGACCGAGATAGTAACACAGTATTGTTAGCATGAAACAGACTTGAAATAGGTCTTAGCAACAAGTGAGGTGGGTGAAAGAGTTCACCAGAGAGGTGACGATTGATGTCATTTATATAGAGGTTTAGTCATGCCGGCCACATGACCACGGAAAAGTCTTCGGACAGCACGGGCTCTTCGGCTTTGAAACGGAGATGACCACCGCAACCCTAGAGTCGGATTCGACTGGCCTTTGAGCAAGGGAACCTTTACCTTTAAAAAGGTAGGGGGCCAAAAGACAGCCCCATCGAACACCTCTATTTATTTTGATCTCTTTGGTCAGCTGACCATTGTTTCCACATCTCACCTGTGCAGTATTATTTTGGTATAATTTATGGATTAACCAGAGAAGCTGACGGTCCATAGAGGTCATTGCTAGTTTCCCCCACAATCTGGGATGGGCTGTATATGACCTCATACCCTCCAGGCATTGTGGGAGGGAAGTGAGCAATCTAAAAAGTTTCTGGCACCAGCTCAATTAGTTAATCCACTCTTAACAAGTTCAAATCAGTGCCTCACTTCTAGCTGAGTTGGGAGAAAGACAGTGGACCTATTTACAACTCGCTCACTCCAGATCCAGTTGTTAATCTATACACACCATTCTGAGGTTCCGTTCCACATGGAAATCATTCTTTGATGGGGGCTCTGGGAATACACACTACATTTCCGTAGCTCCCATTGCTACTACACATGGGAACATTCCAGTAAGTGACCGCACAGAAGAGATGCAGAAGGGTGGGTTTCAAATGGTACCACCACCAAGCCTCAGAAGATAACCTGCTTTGTTAGACCTGTTGATATTTCCATGAGTCCCGAGCAGAAATTTCTGCCCCAGGGTACCTCCTAAGAACCCAGCTGTTCATTCACTCTAGAGACCAATCCTTCTTCCAAATAGCTAGATCTAGTTTTTGCATTCCGGCCCTTGTACTAATATTGCTGTTACACCAACACTTCAAATGGTTTTGCTAAGACCCAGGATAGGGAAACTGTGTTACCAAAAATCATGGCCAAATGGAAATAAGTTACTACTAAACGTTCCCATTAGAAGACTGTCACGCCGGGAGTCCTCCCCTGAGGGGAGGGGTGCCTCAGCCGTGTCGACTGATGTCCCACAGGGAAGCCAAAGCCTCAGAATTGAAGTGGAGAGAGTTGCGCCACTCTCAGCGACACTTCTCGGAGTGACAGCTTACTTGGATTCTCGCTCTCTCGCTATTCCTATGCTCGTCACCTCCGCTC